CCCCCCCCCCCCCCCAATCCCCGCTAACCACCTTCTTAGCTCCAACTTGCCCCCACACCTGAAGGTGGTGTCTCCCAATCCCGGCACGGTCATGGTTTCTGATCCTAAGGAAGGTGTCCCTCCACCTTCCTAGTCCGGCACGGTCATGGTTTCCAATCATAAGGAAGGTACCTCTATGGACAATATGGAAGCCGGCGTGTTCTCTGACAATCGAGAGAAATGAAACAGATGACGAGCAGACCTGGGCTTCCCTCATCCAAATGGTAGAGATAGAGAGAAGAAAATGGCAGCAAACGAAGTGTGCAGGCCTCCTCGGACCTGCAAAGCTGAACTTCAGAAAAAAAGGATTTTTATCAGGGGTTGGCTCTTGGATGGGAAAGTTGCTGCAGTTAATGACAACAGATTGTGTTGGAATAATTGACAACAGATTGTGTTGGAATAATTGGGACCCGACACTAGATACATGCTGACTTCCTGCAGCGGATACCAGCAGGGACAGCAGAGTCCCTAGAGCCTTGGTTTCAGCCAAGCCTGAGAGGTTTCTATGGGTTTTCAGCAAGCTGGCCGTCCGTCCTCCTTTTGCCAGGAGTAATCGATCCTGTTCAGGCCCTTCAGGGGTCCTTTGGTCAAAGTGAAGGAAGTGTAATGTGTGTGCAGTACCTGTATCTCATTCTTGACGTGCTGGGGGAAAAGGAACCGGTTTGTTGCTAGCCAGAACAGAAAGGAGCCAAGGCCATAAAAACCTTTTTTTTCCCGAATTATTCGATTCGAACTATGATATGTTTTCTTTTTTTTTGCCTTGTTTCTTGAGTATAATTTCATTTCGATACCGAAGACCTTCCCTTTATAAACTTCAGGAGGCTTACAGTGTTCGATTGTGGCAGCAAATTGTGTGACCTTTTGTCGGTCGATCCAGTATCAGAAATTGGGGTAGGTTATAAGTAAAACACACGAACAGAGGGAGGAGCTTGAAGTTTCGTAGCATGACTACATTCTAATTTCAAGATAAGCATGGAGCTCTGTGGATTAGTACTAACTTTATATCCAACACCTCCGATTTCTGAAAACCATAAATATTTTTGGTGTCCATGTTGCTCCCCAGAATAGAACGGAGCCAAGGCCATAACAACCTTTTTTTTATATCGATATGAAAAAAGTTATAGAAAAAGGAGAAACATGATCATTTAGTGCCTGTGTGCTTTGCCTAAAGTAGATGAAAAACAAAAAAAGAGAAAAGATCAGCTTGTGTCTCGTCCTGTTGAGCACTATGCTGTGGGGGCGTGGAACACTGATTGTGTCGGTGATGTTGGTTCTGTTGGTTCTGTTGGTTTCGAAGGAAAAACTTTTCGGCTTTTTCGAAGACTGCTCTCTCGATCCCTGTTTCATTAAAAAGGAATGGAAGTTAAGGATATAACCTCACATCGTGGTTGCATTCGTGGACCTTGGTCCTTATGGTTCTGGCTCCATTTCCATTCTGGGGAGCATCAGTCCGGTTCCTTTCCACCGGCAAGTAAAACAAAAAATTGGAATACATGGTGAACACCCTCACGCTTCCTTCCGTCTGGCCGAAGGAACCCTGACCACCATTGATTGCTCCTGATTAGGAGGATTGACTGTCAGCTTTCCCTACCCTGGTTTTCCTTTCAGAACCTTTCTAGGTCTGTCGAATGTGTCGCGTACAGCAAGAAAACTGGGAGATTTGTCCATGTACTTGAGATTGTAGTCCCAATTTGTTCTTCATGGAGATATGTGCCTTGTCAGTGTTGGAGCAAACCATTTCTTCCAGGTCAGTTTGTTGTTTGTCACTGTTGCGATCTTTCCCTGAAGTAGCCAGTCTCTCTGGAAGACCCGTCTTCTGAGTGCGAGCCTTTCTGGTCTGCCTTTCGTAGCTGTCGTCACCCCCCCCCAATCTGCATCGAATCTCTGTTTCCACAATCCTCAGCAGTAGGATCGACATTTCTTCCCTTGCCACTTCTGATCCTTTGATTGTCTTGGCGCATCTCCTTTTCCAGATGACCCACAGGGCCAGTTTTCTGAGTAGGTGGAAACAAACCTCCTTGCCACCTTTGGGACTGTTGGGATTGTTAGAAAGGAGTAGGAGTGGTGTCAGGGGGCGCTGATGAGAAGAGGAGGGACCACAGGTCTCGAACTTTGTTCCATATCCAGGCTGCTTCAGTGCAGTATAGGAGGCAGTGGGGAATGTCTTCTGGCGTGTTGTCATTGCACATAACGCATAGTTTTCGGCTGTCGAGGTCTGTGTGTTTTCTCCTCTTGTGGAGTCACTGGTTGACCGGAAGGGCCACTGCATGCCCCGGATTCTAACTGGTCTGATGGGCAAGTATTTTGCCAAAGGGATGGAGAAGGGGTCCGTTGGCTCTAGGTTCAGGGTCTCTCTCCATCTTCCTTTTAGTTTGGGGTTTGGGTCTGTGGTCTGCAATTATAGGTCGTACCCAAATTTTACGTCGTACTTGAATATTGTTCTCGTTTTCCCGGACTTACCCTGCTTTCAGATCCACTCCTTTGGGTCGAATTCAAGCTCGGCATTGAGGTTGGAAGATTTTTCGAGGTTTGGCCTTTGAGACCCTCACTTTTCTCAGTAGGAAAGATTCGACCATCTCGCATCGGGGCTTCTTGTTGAGGATTACCATTTCCTGGAGGTTGTGGTTATCGATAGGGTAAGAGAAGAATTTGGGGAGGAAGCTGGATGCTATGCTGAATTTGAGCTAGATTATCTGCAAGGGAGTGGCAGCCCTTTAATATGGGTCGGAGTTCCTGTTCTATTGGCCAGTCTCCCCGTTCTTCTGCCCATAGGTGTTTTACCTGCCACACTCCTTTCTCCACCCAGGATAGCCATCTCCAATCCTTCGTGCGTAGTGATCAGGGTGTGTCATCCGGGTCTTTGGTCCAGGGGTTGCAGAATAGGGGTTGCCTCAAAGCCACTTGTTTTCTGGTGATCCCTGTTTGCTTGGGATCATTCGTCGCCAGGTTTTCAAGGTGGGAGTCTGTATGGGTTGGGCGTTTGGGGGGGCTGGTTGCCTGACTGAGAAGGGGCTCTTCTGCGGGGTCTGCCTGTTTTGATTGTCCACTTTTTTGCCATTCTCCATAAATGGCCTCTCATGTTAGAGGGGAGCTGATCGGTTCTAGGTTTCTAATGTTGTCCAGGGCCATCTTGGTCCATGGTAGGTAGCCTGGTCAGGATCACGATAATCCATTTCGTCTGCGGTGCTATTGACTCGTGTTTTGGGTATATTAGGCCAAGGCCACCATCCTGTGGTTTGCTGGTGATGTGACTCCAGGCTACCCTGTTGATGGATGTGGTTCTGTTGGGGTCTCCAGTCCAGAGGTAGCATGTTGCTCTAGCCTTCAGAGTCTTGTGGTCGTCGTCGGGGGTGGACCAGATGGATGCCATGTACCATATAGTGGAAAAGATTGCCGAGTTTATGATTAGTGCTCTTCCGATCAGCGATGCCTGTGCGTTTTTGCAGGGGGCCAGACGAGTTATTGCTCTAGCGATTAGATTCTGGCCCATTCCTGGCCGTACACCTCCCTGTTCACCATGATGCCTAAATATCGGAGTGCCGCCGGTGGACCAAGAAACGGGTGTGGCTGTGTCGTCAGGTTGGGGAGGGGTGTCTTCTGCTAGCCACCATCCTTCGGTTTTGCCCCAGTTGACCTTCATTTCCGATGCTAGTAGTAAGGCCTCCATTGCTCTTATGAGGGCTTGGAAGGAGCAGTTGTTTGCACGAATGAGGACTGTGAGGTCGTCAGCAAACATTAGTGCAGTGGGTAGGGCGGAGTCATGAAGTGGGATATTTGACTTCATGTTCTCGACATTGTGACCTTTTTTGTTCGTTAGGAAGGAGTTATCGGAACTGGATTATAAATATTAACCGGGTAGGTGAAGTCTCTGGCCCACTTAGTGGCTCTTGACATCATACTTCCTACCAGTGGAGGTAAAAGGGGAAGGGGAGGGGGCTGAGGAAGGGAGGGAGAGGGGTTGGAGTTGCAACGGTAGTGTTGCAGGGCGGTCTATTTGCAGGTCATGGGGATGGTGTTGGAGTTGGAGGTAAGGGGGGTTGGGGGGGGAGGGGGTATGATCCTCCAATAGGAGCCGTGTTGGATCCAGATTTTTGCCAACTGAGACTGAGAGGTCCCTCTTGAAGTGGCATGCCCTTATCAACGAAGAAAGTCGGGTAGAAAAGAAAGTAGCCACGGTTCCCCTCTTCTGAAAGCCCCAGAAAAAAAGGACAAGAAAGGACGGGAGGAGGCTTAGGAAGAGGAGGAGGAGGAGGAGGAGGGGAGGAGGATGTGGCAAAGTTTTTTTTCCTTTTTTATCTTGAACTCTTGGCATGATTGGACCCTTTTTTGAGTGATGCTTGACTGTTGCAGGGTTGCTATGCCGAATGTATGGATGGCCACCTTATGCAGGCAGGGTACTTCGTTGGAAATGAGACAATCGAACTTCTTGGTGGGTGGCGCTGGATGTTTGGCGCTGCTGCTCCAGTCGCTGTTGTGATGGGTGTGGGGATGGCATTTCTTCCCCGATCCCCTCGCTGGCTGCTTCTTCGCGCTCTGAGAGACCCAACTTGGTCCAACAGTCCACAATCAGGAGCTCGGGCAGCGCTTTGTGCTCTCAGGTTTGGAATGGATCCTCCCCCTCCGAAATCTGTTTGCTCCTTTCTTTCCTGGAAGCGTTTCAGCGTGTAGGATGTGATCATTAGAGGGAGTCTCAAACTAGTTTTTGTAGTTGAGCAGAACAAGAACTCTTGAGGGTTGTGTATGGATGTCAATCAATCGGTGGAGAGCCAGAGTACTGTAACAGTTTCTAACAACCGAGTGCCAAGACTCTGTGTAAAAGACGAAGTCCTCAAGTCCGTTTTCCTTACGAATAAGGTACTGGAGGTCTGAGTGGCCAGATGCCACCTGGATGTTCCCCCAAAATTTGTGACGTGTTGTAACTTGTAACTGTTTAACAACAGATCACCGCAGGCTCAAACGCCAACGTAGCAATCAGAACATCACCTTAAAATTGGCTCCGTCTTTCCCCGGGCAATAAGGTCGTGAGTGGTCTTCAACAACTCTCGAGGTAGTCCGACCTTTTCAACACTCCAGTCGAACTTTATCCGAATTTCCAAGACGCACATGTCCTATCGAGTCTGGCAGTTTGGCCATTGTGTGTTCTCAGAACTTTGACGGTTCTAGACTGATGATTGGCATATCATGAGCTCAAAACTGTGCCAAGTACAAATGAAAAGTTCATTCTATGCCAAGGCACCACCTTGCAAATGCTGTCCCTCTGACTTGATCACCTTTACCTGTGATGAGAGACACAAAAATTGAAAAACATAGTAATGTGTACTGGTATCGGTGGCATGGCTTAAGTATATACTGCTGACAGGGCTTAGTACTCGTTGACCTGCCTGCTGTCATCTACTGATCTGCTCCTGCTTGGCTTCTAATGACTGGGTAACATGTGAGTGTGTGGATGGAGTGTGGGATTTGCTGCAGGGTAGTTTATGTTGAGATGGGGTGTGTATCTGCCTGCCGACCTGCTGATTAGATTGGCTTCCTATTGGATTAGCAGCATGTGGGTGCCTGGATCAACGAAGAAGACTGAAATCTGGGAAAAGTATTTGTATTTTATGATGAGATGGGGGTGTTTGGCTGTCTGTATGCTCATCTGCTTGGCATCCGGTAACATGTGTGTGGTGCCTGGATGCACTATGGAATTTTCTGCAGAGGAAACAAGTCTGGGAGGGGTATTGACGACGAGATGGCTAACATGCTGGCGAGTATAGAAACCCCAGGCGAGTCGGGTGACACTGCATCCTGGGCCGAACTCGTTCAGGGTACCAATCGGAAGGCACTCATCATTGGTACTGGGCTGGTCTTCTTCCAGCAGGTACGGGGCAATGATCACATTACAACTTTGCGAACACCGGACAAGACCAAGAATTCAAAACCCTTTCTGGCAGTATCCTCCCCCCCCCCCCCTTATATCATGTGTCCATTTTGTGGCCATGGATATTATATTCAGTGCGTGGTCTTTTGTGATGCTTTTTCTCCCTTCATGCTGCAACGGACATCCCAGTTTTCGGGAGTGTTTGGTGGTCATGCTTGATGCTGGCCATCGTGGCTATTGTTGTGTTGAGAATGCTCAACTAGGTCTTCTATGTCATCATCCGCCTCACCCTTACAGTGCATGTCCTCTGTGCCATCAAGGACAGAGAGACTCCTGAGCCTTCCCTTATCCTTTATGTTTTCATCTTCATTGCGCGTTCCTTACTTTCCGTCTGTCTCCTCCACTCTCCCTTTACTCTGCCTCTTTTTCACAGCATACAAGTGGGCCATTAAAGCACCAGTACACGGCTACCTGGGCTGCGGGCCTGACACCTCGAACTCCGGAGACGTGAAACGGAAAAGTGACCTCCGATCCAGTTTATTAACGGCAGGCCCAGCGTTTGACGTTTCTGCCTCATTCTCTTGTGGCGACAAGTTTCGGACTGCAGGCCTGGGGCCGTGTACTAGCGGTTTAAGGCACATGGGGATGTGGGCAGCTCGCAATCAACTTCATTAACGTGGCAAGCCTTGTACATGAGGGGCACAGTAAAGGGGTACCCAAACAAAGAGATAATAAAGGAGAAACCACCAAAAAAAAGCCAAAATAAGGAAAGGAAAGAACAAACTGCGCATCCAACTCACTAAACTCATCGGAGGCGATCCCAATCCAAGAAATGATGCTGGACCACAACTTGGTAGACCCCCATAGGATCCTACACCCCGACAAGAGAACCTTCACTTTAATCAAGAAAAATCATGCCAACCATACARCCTTCTCACGAATAGACYRCTTTCTAGTGTCAGGAGTTATGATGGGGACAATCAAGGAGGCGGAARTACTTCCACTTGCACCATACCCRGGGTTGGACCACAAGCCAACAGAACTGGTTATCTGCTTTGACCAAGTGATCAGGAGGGGAGCCARCTTCCACAAGCTCAACAACTCTCTTTTGCTGAGCCAATCCTTCCAAAACGAGGTCTGTGAYTGCTGGGGAGGTCTGAGGTCGCTGCGTCTAAGTACTGAATCCCGATRGGAATGGTTTCAAAAAACCTACTCGAACCTCTCAGACACGGTGGCTAAAGTSTCCAGAAAATTGGYCTCAGTAAGGAAACAGAGGAAGCAAGCAYTGGAATTTGCATTGAAAATAGCAGAAACTWACCTTGTCAACAACCCAGCCTCCTCATTGTACAACGAGATTTTCGACAAGGCACGTGAAGAGTTGGCAATGTGGAAATGGTGGGATCTGAAAGGCCTTCAAATAAGAGCAARAATGTGTGAATTCGAACTCAGCGACTCAATGACCAAACATTTCTTTGCCCGAATCAAAGCAAATTCAAGAGYTACCACGATTGAAGGATTAAGATCACACACCGCTCCCGAATCGGTGAGGACAGACARTGAAGGAATGCTAGAAATAGCCAACAGTYTCTATAAGGAACTCTACCAGTCTAAGACGGACTCACCGATACCCGCTAGTGTTATAGAAGCAAGACAGAAAATGCTGCACTACCTGGAGCCAACTATATCAACAGAACAGGCCGAAGCAATTGATAAACCAATCACCTCAGAAGAATTACATCAGGCGCTTCTAACAATGAACAATAACAAGACCCCAGGAATTGACGGACTAACCAAAGAATTCTGGGAAAAATTCTGGCCATTGCTAGGGAGTGATCTTTTAAACTTCTACAACGACAGCTGGTCTAAGGGAGGGCTGGGAAACTTACTCAGCAGCAGTGTGGTCACGCTGCTTTACAAAAAAGGCGAGAAAGACGACATTAAAAACTACAGACCTATCTCGCTGCTGACGCTCCCCTACAAGATTTTGGCTAAGACCCTGTCCAATCGGATTACCAAAATCACCAACAAATGCTTCCACATCGACCAAATAGGATTTATTCCGGGGCGGTATATTTTAGACAACGTGATGACACTGAACGAATCGGTTAGAAAAATCAGGGAAAGAAAAATAAATGTTGCTATCCTCTTCTTTGATTTTGAAAAAGCCTATGACCAAGTAAATTGGGACTTCATGGAAGTGAGCATGGAAAAGATGGGAGTAGGACCAAATTTCAGAAAATGGATCAGAATACTATATAGGGATGCTATAGGGTGCGTCCAAGTGAATGATCTTCTATCAGATTGCTATCCGATATCCCGCTCGGTCCGCCAAGGGGACCGTCTGTCTCCATCAATCTTTCTTTTCGTAATGGAGGCAATCGCCTCATTTCTGCGTAAAGACCCATCGATTCAGAGACTAGCCAGTACCGAGGCAGGCTCAGCCCACCAGATTGATTTTCCTACAGCTATCATGTTTGCGGATGATCTGACGGTCCTGATTAGGGTGTCTGACACCCTTCAGAACACTAGCCAAGGCAATGGAGACCTTCAAAGTAGCCTAAAAAATGAGGATCAACTGGGGGAAAACAATTGGATGGTGGATTTCCGAAGATGAACCCCTCTCACTCCAAGGGGACGAGGCGACTATGATGTGGCAGACACCTGATTCYCCTACTCGATATCTTGGCAWTCTAATGACGAGAGATGGGCTGGCGCCTCAAATGGGCCCTGCTCTGCTGACAAAACAGATCAATAAGATAGGGAGGTGGGGCAACACATTCACGTCTCTTATCGGCCGAGCGCTGGTCCTCAATACRTCAATCTTTTCAATGATGTGGTACATATCCTCCATTTGKACAGTCCCTGACAACTCCGTCAAGGAGCTGAACCGAAGAGCTAGACTTTACCTTTGGACAGGCGACCCCAACAGAGACAAATGCATATCTAAGATAGCATGGCACTATGTTACAAGGAGGCCACGAAATGGAGGCCTAGGAATTATTGACCCAGGAACAGAAACCAAAGCCCTGCAAATCAAATGGATCGTTAAACTATTGATGAAACCGGATTGCGCCTGGAACAAACTGGCATTAGATAGCATCAAATCGGTAGCCCCAATTCCCTCTCCGCATGACATGTCAGGCTTGTTCTGGGTAATGAATAAAGAATGGCTAATAACGACAGGACGGAGGAACAGTACGAGGAACAACAGACCTGAGGATCATCGTCCACACACTCCATATTGGCCGGCGCTGCTCCGATCGTGGAGGAAAATAATGCCTAATAAGACCAACAGACCGAAGTCCAAAGATGAAGTTCTCAGACAGCCGCTCTTCGGGAATGAATGGCTAACAAACGAGGCCGATAATCCACTCTTCCTCGAACAGAAATGGCTGTCGTGGGTCAAAAATGGTATTTGGAAGGTAGWCCACCTGTGGAAGGAAGACAGAAAAGAATGGATAACGGAACAAGAGGTCAGCGCCCGACTGAAAGGATGCCACAGACGAGGGGCCAATCTCCAGTACTTACTTAGTCGTATCCCACAGGAATGGAAAGACATCCTGGCAAAAGACGAACCGTGGAGACCAGGAGAATGGGGCCTCATGATTCAAGATATTACCCCCTCTAGAGCCTTCCAATTCTCCCATAGGCAGCAAGACTYACACACCAGAGCCACCTTCCTTTCCTTCCCGRTTTCTCGCACCGACACTGATATGCCAGCCATTCTGAACTGTAACATCGAATCATCCTCACTAGACACCTTCCTCCTCAGGAAAGTAAGGGTCTTAGGCCCATGGCCAAAGTCAATCTTTAGACCAGATACGGCAGTCCGGTCTAGTGTGCAGCCATCTGTTCACCGGTAGGGCAGCGTAGACTATCAACCACTGCAAGCTTCTAATCTTAATTGGTCGAATCCGTTTAAATTTTTCCCACAGAATTTTTTTAATTTTGTCGGCTTCCTGGCCCACAAGGTTCTGCCATCTATTTTTTATTATGGGGTCTGGATTCCTTGTCTTCAGCGAGAGTCTGTACCCGAGTTTGACTGTGTAGTCCTGAATTGGGATTTTTGACTTGAAGCTGCTGGCAACATTTGGCGTCCAGGCCCATTCACTGTCTAGTGTCCTGCAAAGAAGCGACAGACTACTGGGCGAGAGCCTCTTCACTTTGGGGCTCCCTCTTCACGTCCCCCTTCCCTGATCAACCCATCCAACTGCTCCTTCTGACTAACATCCCCGATCAAGCTCGGAGAGCGGAAAGGATCTGGTTTGAGCTCATCAGAAAAGTGACGCTATGGGTCATATGGAAAGAAAGATGCAGCAGAACAATTGAAGGACGCTCCAACCCAAGGGAGAAGGTATGGATAGAAACCAAAACAATGATTCAAGCAGAAATTCTTTGCAGATGGCGAAAGATCAAACAGGCCTGGACAGAGGACGAGGAGCAGCGAAAGAAGGAGAGGCTGGGCTTCTACAACAGCTGGCTGCTGAAGGGCAAGGTCGCAGAGCTGCGAGAGGACCGGGTATGCTGGAAAGAGTGGCACAACTCAATTCCTGAAAGGGGCTTTCAACAACATTCAGCGCCGGAGGCAATAATTGCGGCTTAAGCCTCAAGGGATTGAACCCCACGCCGCAAGATCTTAGGGGAAAAAGATAATAGAGGTGACGTGGAAGATAGGCTGGGGAAGGAGAGTGGCTGTCCAAGCTTAAGAATACAGAGTGTGGACTGAGGATTTAGAATGGTCGGTAGCCTTCTGAGAAAGGGCTGGAGGACTAAAAGGAGAAACGACAAGGTAGCAAAGGCGAGGAGTGTGCTCTCTATCTCTAGGTTAAATGGTTATATCTGACAGATCTGGATACCAGGTCTGAGAGGAGAGAAGAG